ACCCGGGCCACGCACCTTGAGCTGGACCTGCCCCACCTTCTCCTCGGCGCGGAGGATGGGCCGGCCGACGATCGACGGGAAGATGTGCGCAGGGAAGTTGTCGCCCGCGAAGCCGCACTTGACAAACTGCGGTGGCGGCGGCGGAGCGTGAGAGACGGAGCGGCACGCACACAAATGCGAGCCGCTGCGGGCGATCCGCACCCCGGTGCCATTGTCGCAGACGACAGGCGGCTTGCTCATGTGACTGACTGAGACCAGGGCCGCCAGTCAGATCAGGCACACGCGAAGAGAGAGCGGCGAGGCGGGAGCGAACAAGGGCAAGGGCAGCAAAGTCGGTTGTCGGCGGCCGTGAAGAAAAATTGCGGAAAATGCGTCGAGGCACGTAGCTCCGTTCGGCTGATGCGCGGTTACAACCGCACGGGCGAGTGGCCAGAGCCCATTCTCACCAGCCCTGCCCCGCAGCGGCGTGAAGAAAATTCTGAAGTTTATGCATGTGAAGGCGATGCCAGCCGCGCCACTGGCACGTCGGTCGCCACTGTCACCACGTCTCTCGCCGCGGTGGAGCTCTGCGACGAGGACGTGGCAATGCGCTGCTCTGCTCAAAGCGATGCTGGCTCTGCTGCCGACCCTGAGTGGGAGGCAGTGCTGGCGCAGCTGCTAGCAGAGGAAGCAGAGGAAGAGGAGCTCTGCTGCCGCTTCGAGCGCCGTGGTGACGACTCCGACGACGGGTGGGACAACTACAGTGAGGAGGAGGAGGAGGATGCTGTGCAGGGTGTGGCTGGGAAGGTGGACGAGTCGCTCGAGCGTCGGGACGAGCGGGCTTGCGCCACTGGTGGAGGATTCAGTATGCCGCAGGCGGCTCCCACACCTCGATGGGTTATCACTCCTGCGACTGCATCGAAGAGGGCTCGAACCACGCCTGCACCTTGGTCTTGACCGCGCGGACGCCGCCGTCCTTATGCAGGCTGGCCCAGCCGTACTGTTCCGAGCCGCCGAGGTGCAGCGCGCCGAGCTGCTCCGCAAAGTAGTCGTTGTGCGTGAGCAGGCGGACATCGCTTCCAGGGAGGGGGGGGCATTTTTACTCACGCCCCACCCCCCCCCTAGCATGTGGTGAAGCCTCTGGGGGGGTCGGGCCCCCCCCCCCTAGCATGTGGTGAAGCCTCTGGGGGGGTCGGACCCCCCCCCCTAGCATGTGGTGGGCACCCCCCAGCAGTTCGTTGGCTATAGGAATAGCCGCCAGAGAGCCGATTTTGCCCCCAAAGTTGTGAAATCGTGGCTGAAAGTCCAATATCTTGGGGAATCTGACCAGTCTCAAGGCTCATGTAGCTCCAAAGGATGATTTTCCCCTCGAAAATGCTGCGAAATGAGGCGAAAATCGGACC